CAACTTCAAAACGGTATTTACATATTGATCGAATTCAGTCACTTATGAAAAACCCATCATCCATAAGCCAATGACAAATATAAATCCTTTCTAAATTAAACATGTAACTTAAAGGCCAACAGTGAATACTTTCTTAATAATATTGCGCTCTGAATGATTATTATTGTTAACATGATTAATACAACACTTAAAAGCAGATTAAAATCTCTTGTTCTACTCGACAATAGTCACATTTTTACGACGTCACACTTATTATGAATAAGGCTTTACTTTTTTTGCAAGACTTTGCTAACTATTTTTTTAACATTTAATATGAAATGGTAAATGTGAAAGGTAATGTACAACTTTGAATTTGGCTGTAATTTTGGGGTAAGTATTTTATAGCAAGTATCGTTCCACTGACCTGTTTAAAGATTTGTGTTTATAGATACCGGAGAAAACAAAAACAAATAAACAAAATGCTGTTCTTTCAGTCGGATTCCCTAACCCTACGCTTCAACTGAATCGGGACATATTATAGACGTCAGGGAATTATCAGGTCAAAGAACTACACTAGCTAGCATATGTCCATGAAAAGGTATCTTACTTGTGTCCGTTGCAATTGGGGTGGTGTTTAAAGAAAGTGTTTTTTTTCAACGATGGTTGGCCTAACCATTGTTGGAAAGTAATGAACAATTCCACTTTTCTTAAAAATGACAGCGTACCAGGTGCAATGATTTATTATTTACTTACAGCCTACTACGGTGATTCATAATAAATTGGTAGTTTCACTCTTTCGATGTTTGCAAATGTTGTACATTACCTTAGAATGCACGTCAACAGAAACAGCTTTACATCTCAACTAGTCGTATTTAAAGAGCTACGTGACACGATATTTAATTAATTTCATATCTATCATGAATTCAACCCTATCAGAAGCCGGGCCACATCGGCCTGTTTTCGGTCACTTGATCAACTGCGGCGCATTTGGGAATTCAAATTTATGTCCCCTATCGTTGCAAAAGCATTGTTTCATTTTCATTTTTTTTTCGCATGATTATCTTACTTTTGGGAGCTCGTTTGTTAAAGTCGTGTATTAGGAAAGCTAAATAAGTATAAATCCTCGCATCAATTTGCAATTGGAGCCACACAAATTCAGGGTCGGTTACTGACTGAGCAGATGGCGCAAGTACACAAAATGTTACTTTTTCAAAATATGTTTGACAACAAATGAGACTACCACCTTTAGTGGTAGCCACAGTTTAGCCAAATGATGCCATTCATGAGTCGCCTTAACTATTTTTTGGGGGACACTTGGGCCTACCAGCCCCAAATGTTGTCTGATGTTGTACACCCGTGTGTTTAAAGTTTGGTTATTATAGGCTTCCCGGCTATTTTAACAAATATTTTCCATTCAAATTCAACATCCCTGTCATTCAATTTCGTCCACGAAAATTTCACACGCTTTCAAAAAATCAATTTAGTCATTTTCTGTTCAATTTTAGAGTTTGGTCACCCTCTTTAGTCAACGGCTCGACAATATTCGTCATTAGATATCAAATTCGTCTAAGCTGTTACCGAATGGCAGCATGCAGAGATCAAAGTCGTCATACATAAATCAATAAGACGAATTTGATTTGTCACTAACAAGGTTTAGCGTAGACGAGACGCAATCGAAAACAAAAACTCGAGCACCTTGTTTGAATTTGCTTGAACTGAATTCAAAAGTGTCTGAAAAAAGACGAAATTAAACATCTGAAGTGCACTAAAATCGATGTTGATGGACGAATTTGAATATAAGTAACGTTGAATTTGAATGATAACGTTTTAAATAGCCAGGAAAATCTATGTATGTACTTTACACGCGCGAAATATACATGCTCTGATGGATTTCGTGAAACCTAGATGCATTGACCCAAAGGTGGGACGACACACTTTTTACTTCAAATAGTGGAGAGCAAAGCTCATGTGGGGGCCATCAAAGGTCAACTACAAATTCACCGGAAAAGTTCTTGAGTTATCCTTTGGTTGGGGTTGGGAGAATCATGATGAGAACAAAATAAAAATCCAGAATCTCTAGAAATCGTTTGGAAAATCGGCCCAGGAATGTGTTAATTACCATTCATAAATAACCAAAATAAACTGGTTCTGACAGGGCTGATAACATGTAAATGCACACAATACAATCTACAACAATTACACTCGATTAAACTAAATTAATTATATATAAGTATGTACAATGAGCGATGCTTCAAAACCCCAGGGGCGGATCCAGGAATTTTCGCGGGGGGAGGGTTCATCAGCAACAAAATCTGAAAATGTACACAGTTTTTTTTTTCCGGGCACTTGGCCTCCGTAAATTCAACAACTGGGGGGGGGGGGGGGGGGGGGGGGGGGGGGGGGGGGGGGGGGGGGGGGGGGGGGGTATCATATTTCAATAGCGGACACTGTTCAAATTCGACGATTATTAACACTAGATTACATAATGGTGTACCGTATTTTGAACAGACAGACATTATATAACTGTTGGGGAGTGTCGGGGGGGGGGGGGTTCGACTTATATTTTAGGAATTTGTATTTTATATTTTTTTTCTTTTGGACAGAGCTGGGGGATCCGCGCCTGAACCCTGGGTTTTTTTGTTCTGCAACCGTGTATTGTTCTTATCGCAAACAAACGTGTGATGAAGCAGATATAAACATGTGGTGTAAGGCCCCCCAAAAAATACTCGGTCTCTGGTCAGACCAAAGTTCCGGAATTGATGCGGCGACGCGGCTTCTTTTTTTTTTTCAAGCTTCGATTGTGCAGACAAGGTGGGGTACTATTTTTGCTTTTTTTGGTGTACTCATGTACATTGGTGTCCTCCATAATTTGCCTTGGTGCAATTTCCCATTCCTTGTTGCTCTTTGGTAAAAACATTTGAGGAGGTGCGGCAGTAGAGGGCGCTGTAGTGCGGCAGTAGAGGGCGCGAAGGTTGTCGCGCATGATTAAAATCGACGTGTGCGCTGACCAGAGACCGACTATTTTTTTTTGGCCTGAAAGGCATTGCTGAGGAAACATGACCTAAACCGAAGGCGAGGGCTATTATAGCCGCCTAATCGGGTTTAAACATCATTACTTTTTAAACCTTTTCGGTCAAAATGTACCAAAGGTTAACAAAATTGATAACTTTTCTATGGCGTGCATTCTTGACATTTAATCAAAATAGAGAGATATCTCTATTAGGAATAGAGATATCTCTGTTTCGGACGTATACAAAGTTAACATTTAATCTCTCTAATGGAGATATTTCTAAAGAGATATCTATATTTTTGGATTAAATGTCAAGAATGCTCGCCATACTCTTGAAAACAGCACGGGTATGACAGGATGCCGTTTGACAGGATGGACGTGTGACAGGATGCCGTTCGTGATCGTCACGCCTCCCCCTTATCGGTTAACAGTGCAACCCGGCCTCTTACGTTTTCTTCATTTCACTGGGCATTCACTTATGCACTACTTACGTAAGAATCTGCCGATTCTTGACGATTGAATACAATTTATATTATATTCGTTTACTTTATTTTTATTCTCACTCTGATTTTGATTGACTTTGAATCATAATAAAAGGTCGTGCACTTTCGTTTTTATGAATTGAAATCATTGTTTCCCCGCCTCTTTAAATGCTGATTGTTAACCTCCTTTTTGGCCTATCGTTTGTTCTTCCCATTTCATTCGTATTTGCTGCCGTTTGTGACGTACTGACTTTAAGTTTGGAGTGTCCACAGGTAACGACAAGTGCTTAAAGTTATTATTGCTTGATAAAAACAAGAATATATGATTTCAGAAGATTATTGCTCGCTACAATCAAGGATACCATGATGAAATCAGAAACAAAAAAATAACAGTGTAGGATTCCGCTAAGCTCTTTTTAGGGTTAATATTGATGTTATGATAGACATCAAATACATTATATATAGCCCATGCCATTAGGTACTTGTCGGTTTTTGTTTGTTCACATCTGTAAGTTAAACTTAGCTTTTGTAAGCAACATGTGCACTGAGCCCTGTTGGTATTTTTGTCTCCCAATCTCATGCCCTCTCTTTTATCTTCTTTCTGTAGGCTCAATGCACGTGTTTGCTTAATAGGGACCATTGCATACAAGCTTTGCTTCTTAATGGATCCCACTGCAGTATCACTTGTTCGTTAATTGCATCTTTATATATCCATTTATTTATTTATTTATATAATACCTTCTATGATTAATTTTTGTTGGATTAATACTGTGGAAATAAATAAACCTGAAACCTGAAAGATGAAAACACTGAATCAACATGCACCGAAAACACAATATTATTATTCACAAATTCAGGTGGAGCTATTAAGAGTCGCTACGAAGCTAAAATCCCCATTTTTAAAGTACATTTCCCGCAAAGTCGTTTAAAATAATATAGGCCTACTCCTGTTCAGCCTATATTAATATGACTGTCGGTCAGAAACTGCGCTTCATGATTTCTGTATTTTTTGCAACACTTACAAATTACTGACTTCGAATCAAAGGTTGACTGATTAACCCGTGGTTAGTGGTTAACCACAGCGATTAACGGACTTAATTTACGTTTACTTCTCTATCAGAGTTCAGCTACACAGAAAAGTTAAGCTGGATGTGAGCCTGTAACCTCGGGAAACCGTACCAGTGCCGTACCGGGTACCGATTGAAATGTTGGCTTCCCTTTCAGGTTTTATGTACTCTGCGTTCTCTCCAACAAATCTATTGCTTTCTGCTGGCAAATGTTCACCTTTGTATGTATATTCAGGGAAAATTGCCTCTTTTTTGCAAGAAGACTGGTACCCGATCCCTACATTATTATCGTTAATATAATGAAAACTAAATAAGTGTCAGCCTGCAAATATTTTGAACTTTGTGGAAAACTTATACTAGAACTGAAGTGGCTGATTTGTTTTTCAATCGATATTTTAACTCAAGTGGTTAATTATATCTATTGTAATACCCCCCCCCAAAAAAAAAATGTACTACCCCCACCCAAGCGATCGAGTTAAAGACGCAATTTATTATTAAGCGTTTAACAAAAATATCATGATATTATCTTCGTTAATTAGTGGGTTTTGGAAAAAGTTAGAAAAAATGAGCTTTCCCTATGCTGATATACTAGTACTTTTTCTTAATGTTGCACTAATGCATTTTTTAAAAACATCCTTTATCTTTCACTTTTTCATTTTTTTTGTTTGCCAAGAAAACTTTAAAGTGCATTTTCTCTATCGAAAAACTCTGAGATGAGTCCCGGCGACCCCTCTGTCCCCTTAGCTTTTTGCCTTTGTCTTTGAATGTGACTGATTTTTTTGGATCACCGGTTAATGTCCGCGGATGCGTCGTGTCATCATTTCGGTCCCTTTAAGAGAGACCTGTTTACCCTTCCAGGTGACCCACTGTATCCCCATGTAATCAGCGACTGTTGCGTCGTTGTAGTACAAGCCGTTCAGGTTGCTCTTGAATGAGTCGCCATGGCACCCCTTGTACCACCAGCCTCCGTGGAATTTCTGAGCGCAATTTTCCAGGGAGACATCGTCGTTGTCAGCATCGCGGGTTGAGAAGTGTTGGCGATAGTGAACGCTTAGTGAATCACCTGCACGCACAGTGAGGAAGAACCATTGAGAGATGAGTGAATCACCTGTGTGCATAAGAACAGCCCGTTCAATGTGGTCCATGTATGTGTGTTTTTACGGTTTTACTGTATTTGGAGAAACACTTTCATTATTTAATTTAGTGCCTTTTCATTCAATTGTTTAACACTTATACCACTGTATGTTTATATGCTCAATTTTCTGTATCATTGGTGTTTAAATTTGTATGTGTAAACCAAGAAGTAGAATTTCATGCTGGCATCATGAATGAATAAATGGAGTTGAATTGAATTGAATTGAATTGAATGCTTCATGACGAATGCTGAATGGACATTTTCACTAAGGGACTTCTTATAACAACAACATTTGAACGGGTTCCTTTGTTTATTTTTTTTTTTTTTGACTTGGGCTCCTCTCGTCATGTTATATTTTGTAAGACATGTTATCTGCATTGAATCACGACGAAATTACTGATGAGATGCTACATCGACATCAAAAACACTATTCAACAGGCCAACGGTGCTTCCAATCCGCTTCATGAGCATCCATGGGCGGAAAAATTGTAACGAGTTTCCCGTGAACCTCCCTGAATACATTTTTGTTTTACGCTACTGATGTTGGTCATTGTGTTAATTGAACACACGAGTTAACGTACAATCGATTGAATGGTTGGTTAAAGCGGGATGGGGGAGCCACAGACTATTATAAAACAATCAGTAATAAGGTAGTACGGTTTTTGTTTTGTTTTGAGTAACTGGATGAAAGCAGCGCAATTAAATTACAATTAAATCGTAGGCAACAATACAAGACATGTTGTGTTAAAGGAGAGGGCTTTAATGAAACTGAACGTGCAGCGTATGTACCTGCATGTCCGCTCTCCTCACGGAAGCCATCGACATGATTTTTATTACTTGTGTGTATTTTGTTGTGATTTACCTTTTTAATGTATCTTTCACACGATGTAATTCTCTGTAATTTCAATATATAACGATTTTTAATGTGTGTAAATTAGACTGCAATTCAGCCCTATAGCCGTGAAAGGTAATAAAATAAACCATTAATAATAATAATAATAATTGGCATCAAACAATCTATTCAACGATTTTTTGTCTTCGACAGGCTTTATGACTTTATGGATTTTTTTTCTGGGATTTTCCGGCAATCTCCATTTTATAAAAATGCGTTTCCATTGTATATTAATTGGTGTGTTCGATCAAATACATGCAGCTGAATGAAGCGAACATTCGAAATGAGGGCAGAAATAGACTGTTGCCTGCGGATACAAAAAAAAATGTGCAAGACATGCATTGCGATAGGAAAAGTCATATACTAGTAAGGATACTGGGGTATTATCTACCTGCATCTCCACCCTCCGCAATGAAGCCACTGACATCGAGCCTGTAATTGTACTCAGATGAGTCTACGAGGAAGAACCCATAACGAACACGGGCTTCATCCCCATTGAACGCCCTCAGGGTGATGACCAGCTCCCACCCCCGGTTACGAGTCAGACTATGCAGCTTCTGGTTGCCCAGCCAGAACTCTCCGGTCAGATCCCCGAATCCTTCTGTGTACTCCCGCCAGATCCGGTTGAAGCTCACCGAGCCGTCCTGGCGTCTCTGAAACACCTGATCAAAAAAATATATATTATAAACGGTAATAATTTTCCCCGCGAATAGGCCAGTTATTAGCAGAAATGGTATTATTAAGCGTGTTATATTCCGTTGTATGTAGTATACAACAGCCGGTATTTGTGCCTTTCAGCACAAAAACTGTCATTTTGTTATTCTAATTTTGTGAAAACCAAATAAAAATCATATTTGGGCTAATGCTCACACTAAAACATGGCTTCTTCTTTCTTCTTTATAATCTTGATAGGATGGGTTTAACAACGAAAAATATGATTGGACAAATTGTATCCGCACCTGTGGTTTCCGAGGGCATATTTTGCCCGAGGACACCCCAAATCTCCGCATAATTATTCTTAAGACACACACTTTCTTTGTTATTGAAAAACAAATACCTGAGACAATGTGAGTGGTTGATGAGCTTTGTGTAGTGAAAAATGGGCTCGCTTTAATGCCAAATTTGGCACAGAGATAGACCAATATTAAATAAACCAATGTAGATATTGGGGCATCGCAGATATGGCCCTTGCCGGCTGTGGGAGCCATCATTATGAAGTACTGAGTCATGCTGAGTCCGCACTATTTTGTAATTCTTTTTCTCGTGCAGGATGGAGGGGAAAAACACCTTTTGTCCCTCCCCTTTTCTACGTGCTTGGATGAAAAAGGCATAAATAATTCATTTTTTTTTCAATACCCCATTACAAAAAAATCATCTAAAATCAATGTCAGCTGTTGTTATGTTCTTCCTGTATGTACTAAACTGTACTGTATACAGATGTACATAAACACGAAGTAAAATTGGTCTTATAAATTCAAGTTCTGACTCGCCAAAAATAACGTACTGGCAATGTCTGAGACGTTCCACTAGCATAGCAGAAAAGACTCTTGCTAAAACCTTGCCCCACTTTCAAATGATACGAGTTGAGCCACAATAAATGCTAAGTCAGCTCTTTTTAAATGCAATTATGTTGCCAGATTCGGAAAAAAAAGTCATTTTTTGTAAACTTTTTGTAAACAGAATCAAACGCTGTGCTAAGCGATGTCCAACACGTATTAAAATGGATTTGTGAAACACCTTTGAACAAGTTGGACATTTCAGACATCAATTTGAAGAACAGATTGACCAGGTGTCAGGATTTTTCTGTATATAGCTATTTTTAATTTTATTTTTGGCTGGGGAGAGTACGGAACTGGAAAACCCAAATAAATCTCTTCGCTAGAAAGAATAGTTATATAAATAGTAGGAAACAGGGACAGATAATAATATTTGCAGTTGCATGGTGCATCTTCCCACTTCTCGTTAGCTCCAGCGCGTGTTTGTTAATGTTACTGGTTCACTAATTAGCAGTATACACGTTTGCACGGACGTTCAATTATTTTACAGTAGTTGCATTGCTTTTCTTTCAACACCGTGCTCCACGCTGGAAGTTGACAGAAGATTTCATTCAACAACTTTTTTGTCACTTCATATACCTGTGCGAGTTAAATTGGCAATGCACCAACGAGCCATGTTATAAATACAGCATGGTTTAGAGAAAATAAGGAACTGTACTCACTATGAATCCTTTCCCCGACTCCGGCTCCATGCGGCAGTAGACCTGCATATCCTGGTCTCCGTGCTGGATGGTATACACACCGCTAGTTGTCTGACCAGCATCCAAGATCTCTTGACAATCTGCTCGCGGCTCCATCGGCTCATGGGTAGTGCTGACAACTGGTGTCATGTCGGCAGGAGTCGATGCAACAGGTGTCGACCCCGGGGCAACTTTAGAAGTCGACTCTGGGCCGGTGTCAGTGACTCCGATCGTCGACTCCTCCGGTTTGCTCGCGGTGCAGTTGAACCAACGGCCGATAACCTCAGCAGTCACCTCCGGTAGCATGTCCATATACAACGGAGGATCCTGCCCCTGCATCTCAGGCGCGTAGCGGTGGTAATGACCGCCTAGTCTTACCCCTGTACAGGTGCAAGGATCGCCCGGTGGCAGGACAAATCTCCCCATGCGCTGGCCGCAACTGCGTGAGCCTAGATCAATCATCAGGGTACAGACTCGGGCCGAGACCGTACTGACCACTGCATTATCAGTGAGAACAATAAAGAAACTAGATTATGTTTGTGGAAAAACACATGGCTGTTTCGGCATGTCATTTTATAGACTAATGGGATGTACATGTGCAGTAGAATGTTGCAGAAATGTTAAGGACCAATAGTTCCGTAGATATCGGTATTAGAAAAATGTAACTCCAATGTGACGACATTTTTAAGGTGATGACGTCATTATGATGTCATTTCAATTTTCATCTATAACACACCGTGGCTTAGGTACATTCCCACAACCAAATTGGACAGTAGTTCTGCAGGTACATGCATAGAAAAATGAACCTGTAATGCGGCGTCACATTGCAAGGGATGACGTCATCATGAGTCACTTAACAATTTATCTGTAACACATCCCTGACTTGTACATCCCAAGTTACAACCAAATCGGACTTATAGTTCTATTGATCTAAGCCTTAGAAAAAAGCTTTTTAATGTGACGTCACATCAGATATGATGACGTCACATGACGTCACGTAAATGTCCATTTAAAACACATTCGGTTTGGGTACACACCAAGTTACAAACAAATCAGACCTATAGTTCTGCAGAAAATGCACATACATTGTGACGTCACATAAAACATGATGACGTCATCGTGACGTATTTTCAATTTTAATCTATAACGCATCCCGGTCTACACTCCTGGCCGAATCCCACTGGGCCCCCACCCTCCCCGGCCCCCGTTCAATGTTGTCTGTCATTGCGCGGTGTGTGCTCCATTAGCTGGAGAGAACAACATTGACCGGGGGAGCGGGGGAGTGGGTGACTGTTGCTAGGCTCAGGAAGTGTCCCAATCATTTTGGCCGGGATTGTAGACTGTTTCCCGGTCCCACCTAAAGATATTTTCAAGTCAATGGGGTCAGGGAACCAGACTAGCCTGTACCCTTTAAAAGCTACAGTAGCTTTAATTATGTCTTTATATATATAGGGCATGATAGGGCAGAATGCCATCCCTACTTCCTTCACAAGATTCTGTGAAGCTCATCGGCCTAGCCCTTCCCGCTATCATAAAGGAGGCACATCGGTATCGTGAACAGCTCTCCTGGTGCAATATGGTGTTCTTGTGTAATGCTGTTTTCGTGTATATTTAAGGTGTTTTTTTTCTTCTTAGAATTAAGGATGAGAACGTTTTCTTTACTTTTTTTTCCATTAAAATAATGTTTGATTACAGCCTGGTGAAGGACTGTTTGGAACAGCGAACGGAATAGGCCTAGAGGCCTGATTAACAGTGTTACCAACCAAATCTGTAAAAAGAAATTATCGTTTCCTTTTTTTTTCAAAACGTCCGTATTTTGTTGAAATAGTAGTGATTGAGTTGAGAATCTGTATCTCTCCATATACAAACAGTAAAAGTCAGGTGCGGATCCACAGGGGATTTGAACCCCCTCCCCAACCCCACCCAGCTGGACCCCCCCACCCCCCGCTGTGACACATACAAAATAGGCTAAACAATTACAAACATGATAAGATCGGATATAGAAATCAAACGGGTCTGAACCCCCCCCCCCACCCCGCCAAATTTCAAAATAGCCTACATAATAATAGTGTTCATTGTTGCGTAACGATAAGTATGTTTAGCGCACGTGTAGGCCTACTACTAACGAGACTGCCGTATACAATTGTCCAAACAAATAAAAACGGTTGACTCATTACTGCCCGAAACATCGACTTCAATTTTGCTCGTCCATGAAGCCAAAACAGATGCACACAGCAATGTTTCAGGTTTCTTCGCCTATTATTAAGACAAATTGTTTTTGAGGAGAAATTGTTCGATCAATATGACTATTCCATTATTAGTGTCGCAATTTTCAGTAGAAGTAAGAAACGCAGTATGCAATACCAGGCAAAAATAAAAATGTACATTGTAATGTGTTTATTACGTTTCAAAATAATAGCACTGTAAAACGCGAGAACATGTGGCACGTTTATAAAATAAACGCAGTGTTTTAGATTTAAACACTATGTGACAAAATTAAACGCATCATGTGTTTTTAAACAAAATAGTTAGCGTTTAATGTCAACAGTGCTATAGGGTGTTTATTATGAGATCGGTTTTAGAAAATGGTTTACCTGTTCAATTTCACTAGTTAGCATTTTGTTTATTCCCAAAGAATAACACTTTGTTTAAAAAAAGGCTTATTAACTAATTAGGACACTAATAATAACTCAAGTTATTAATTTAGCTGTTTGTGTTCAACACCTAATAAACACGGTACACGTCACGATGTTTAAATATGACCACGTGATGTTAGGTCTTAACCAATAGGATTAAATCTGATTGCGTGCTGGCGCGGCATAATCGGGCCAGTTAATTACGCGGCACTAAGACAACCGCCATTTTTCTGACAATAATCTGGGCACACTAATATAATAATGTAATGGCGAGAATTATTATCGTCATTCGTGGTAACAAAATTTGCACGGGTAATGAAACAATATACATGTATGATGTAGTCTCACAGAAGGCACTAACAGTTGGTCATGACCTAGGCTAGAGGTCAAGTTTGGTATGCATATTGCCAAGTCAGCAAGAGTACATGTACTCAGATGCAACGTATTCTGTGCATGCAGTACGACGGTTGTAGTTTGTGTAGCGATTCCCATCTAATCGATGCATTGTAGCAAGTCTAATCCATGTATCCCAGCATGCATCACTCCTAACATGGCCGCTTACATGTTCGTATGTGAACTCGTGTTGTCGTCTAATAAACCTGGAATAGTTCCCAACATATCGGAGTCTATAACTTTCTTCATGGTGTCAGTAAGTACAGGATTCGTTTCTTAATACATCATGGCTACTTTCGGCAATATTGGAGAGTTTTGTGAAAAGAAAGAGACATGGGAAATGTACACTGATCGTCTCGGCGAATATTTCGCGGCGAACAATATCTCCGACGCAGCACGCAAAAGGGCCATACTCAACTCTGTCGTTGGTTCACAAACATATAAGCTGATTAGCGATCTTCTTGCCCCTAAGAAACCAAACGAAGCTACATATCAAGAACTAGTGGACAGACTTGAGAAGCATTTCAAACCCACAAAGTCTAGCATCATTGCTCGCTTTCAATTCAACAGCCGCTGTCGGCGATCTGGTGAATCAATCGCCGAATATTTAGCAGCACTACGTGCACTGGCCAGTGACTGCAAGTTTGGCCAAAACCTTGATGAAATGCTGAGAGACAGACTTGTGTGTGGCGTGCAGAATGAACGCATCCAGAAATCCCTGCTTGCCCAACCAGAGGACAAACTTGACCTCAAGCGCACAGTGGAACTTGCACAATCAATGCAGCTCGCAGGGATCAGGCAAAGATGTTGTCAGCCTCTACCAGCACAATGGCTGAATCAAATACCACTGTCAATGCTTTCAGAAAGAAACAAGCTCAACGCCCAAACAGACCAACATGGTCAAATCAACGGCAGACATCTGCACGCAGTAGTTCTACACAGCAGCAAAAGCCCAGAAAACCTTGTGGAAATTGTGGAACTTTTCACAAGAGGCGCGAATGCCCAGCCTACGGCAAGACTTGCCACAAATGTAACAAAAAGAATCACTATGCTGATTACTGCAGAAGCAGCCGCCACGTCTACACAGTAAACCCCGATTCATACTCGGAGGAAGACGAACCTGCCGTGGATGAGCAAGAATTATTTTACGTTCGAGCCGTGGACAACACCAACTTGCACTTGAAACATGACATCCACGCTACGCTTGTGGTGAATAACACACACGTTCCTGTCCAACTTGACACTGGTGCACGTTGTAACGTCCTGCCCATGCATGTTTACAATGTCATCGCACCACCTAAGTCCATCGATAATTCAAAGTCAACCAAGCTCATCGCTTATGGAGGAACCGAGCTCCACACAGTTGGACTAGCTACACTGCCATGTCGCATTGACTCATCGCAGACTGACCATAATATTGACTTTCACATTGTTGACACACAAGTGAAAGCTATCCTCGGCTTAACCGATTGCCTCCGTCTAGGCCTGCTGTCTGTCAATAACTTAGTTTACCATGTCTCCAATGACACCACATCGCCTCAAGTCTTCAAAGACTACGAAGACCTGTTTGACAGCTCGCTCGGGTCACTACCAGTCATCTACACCATGACCATAGACCCCAATGCTACGCCGGTTGTCCGACCCCCACGTCGCATCCCTGCTGCAATGCAAGACAAGGACAAGTCCGAACTGCAGCGGATGACTACCCTAGGCGTGATCACTCCAGTCTCCGAACCGACAGACTGGGTTTCCTCCATGGTCGCGACTCATAAGAAAAACAGCGAAGAAATCCGCTTATGCATCGACCCTCGTGACCTTAACGAAGCACTGAAACGCCCACACCACCCTACCCGAACAGTAGAGGAAGTCGCTGCCAAGATGGATGGTGCGACAGTTTTCTCAGTGCTTGATGCTAAATGCTCGTTCTGGCAGATCCCCTTGGATTACGAATCATCACTGCTGACTACATTCAGCACGCCATATGGCAGATACCGCTATCTTCGCATGCCCTACGGCCTCTGTTCTGCCTCCGATGTGTACCAGAGAACCATGGAGCAGATATTCGCCGATCTGCCATGCTCCATCATCGTAGATGACATACTAGTTGGTGGACGCACTAAAGAGGAACATGATCGAAACCTCAAAACTGTCCTTGATCGGATACGCAAAATCAACATGCGCCTCAACCCCACAAAGTGCCGCTTCGGTCTTGAACAAGTCTCATATGTCGGTCACGTCTTCACCGCCAGTGGTCTTAAGCCTGACCCAGCCAAAGTCAGTGCTATCACCGACATGCCTCCACCCAACGACGTTACTGCCCTACAACGCTTTCTTGGCATGGTGACATACCTGGCCAAGTTTGTACCCAACTTGAGCGACTTAACAGCCCCACTACGCGAGCTCACACATAGTGACATCCATTGGTGCTGGCTAGAGCAACACAATGCCGCATTTCTAGCAATCAAGGACAAGATTGCTAATGCGCCGACACTCACGTACTTTGATGTCCGCAAGCCAGTCACGTTGACCTGCGATGCCTCCAAGTTTGGCCTTGGCACAGCCTGCCTACAAGAGGGTGCCCCTGTCGCGTATGCTTCACGTACCATGAGTGACACTGAACAACGCTACGCACAGATTGAAAAAGAACTGCTTGCAGTTGTGTTTGCCTGCACCAAGTTCCACGACTACATATACGGTAAAGACATCGTAGTCGAAACTGACCACCAACCATTGGTCACCATCGTCAAAAAGCCTCTGCTGAGTGCCCCTGCGCGGCTCCAACGCATGCTTCTCCGGTTACAGAGGTATAACATCACCCTTGTGTACAAGAAAGGAAAAGAATTGTTCCTTGCCGACACTTTGTCACGTGCACCCTTGACAACGACCGGTACTGAAACTGATGACCTGCAAGTCATGACTCTCCTGTCAATCTCTGACATGCGACTTGAACAGCTCAAGAAAGCAACTGCCTGTGACTCTGCCATGCAACAGCTCACTGATGTCATCAGTCGCGGATGGCCTTCGCATATCAACAATGCCCCACCAAAGGCCCACCCCTACTTCGCGTTCAGAGATGAACTGGTTCTCGACCGCGGTATCATCTTAAAGGGACATAAGGCCATCATTCCCAAGTCACTACGCGCAGAATACATCCAAATACTGCATGAAGGTCACCCAGGCATCGAGGCTACCAAACGCAGAGCCAGAGATGTAGTCTACTGGCCATCAATGTGCCTTGATATCGAGCAGTCCGTCTCTGGATGCACAGTTTGCAACGCTACCAAAGCCCATCAACAGAAAGAACCACTGAAAAGCTACCCCCCACCCAGCCTACCATGGGAACACATTGGAGTTGACCTTTTCCATTGGAACGGTATGGATTACCTAGCCCTTGGTGACTCATACTCCGGCTGGTTTGACTTCGCTTCACTCGACAACACCTGTGCCTCTACAGTCATTGAGGTACTCAAGAGACAATTTTCCATCCATGGAATCCCCCCGCATCGTTATCAGTGACAACGCACGACAATTTGATTGCTTCGCCTTCAAACAATTCGCACAGTCATGGGGCTTCCAGCATACAACCAGCAGTCCCCATTTTCCCCAGTCCAATGGCCTTGCAGAAAGCTCTGTCAAGCGCGCCAAACAACTCCTCGAGAAGACAAAACGCGACGGTTCAGACCTCTACCGAAACCTGCTGAACATTCGCAATGTCCCAACCAACCCCCAGCTTGGCTCACCTTCCCAACGTCTCATGTCACGGCGTCTTCGCACAACCATCCCTACCCCGACGCCACTCCTTAAACCCGCCATTTACACACGCGTCACAGCACAGTTACGCAAGAGGCAACAGCAACAGAAGTCTTCATACGACAAATCTGACAAGCCCCTCCGACCACTGACACCAGGGCAAGTTGTCCGTCTACAATCACCCAAAGGGCACGATCAGCTTGGAATTGTCCGAAAGCATTCCAGAAACCCCAGATCGTACATCGTCAATGCCCAAGGTACACTCTACCGCCGCAATCGGAGACACTTATTGCCAGTCCCTGAACCACCTCCACAGCAACAACACTCACCTGACTTCTACTTACCGCCACAGGATCCACTGCCTCAGCCTGCCATCCCCCACGCACCTCCACCACAGCCAGTTCTCACTCGTTCCGGTCGCATCTCGAAGCCAAATCCTAAATACACTTAACAGTTTTGTGTGACTGTTATTGCTTTGACCACACTGGATTTGTGTTGTTGATCCAAATTTCATGCTGATAACTTTGGACTGTCCTCGACTACTGGACTGTTAGTAACTACATTTGCCTACTCAACATGTGTTATGTGTTGTACACTCCAAAGATGAGGGCAGAATAATCCCTTGTACACACATCGAGTACTGAGACAGTCTATCTCAGTACTCAAGGCATTTGAGTTTTGTTTGTTGTTTTTTTACTATATTATTGGTTTAACCCTCTGTTTGTTTTTCAGAGGAAAGGATAGTAATTGTTTATCTTGGTACATTTACATAACCAGTGTGTTTTTTAAATATTCATTAAGTGTTTTCAAATCAGTGAAATACTCGGACTTTAAATTACCACACTCCAGTTTACAAATTCACTGATCAAACAAATGTTTATTACATAAAGCTGTTTTATTCAAAATGTTAAAACTAAACTTAGAAGAGAGGATGTAGCGATTCCCATCTAATCGATGCATTGTAGCAAGTCTAATCCATGTATCCCAGCATGCATCACTCCTAACATGGCCGCTTACATGTTCGTATGTGAACTCGTGTTGTCGTCTAATAAACCTGGAATAGTTCCCAACATATCGGAGTCTATAACTTTCTTCAGTTTGAACCAGTTCTGGAAGCTCCCACACAGGTGGTAAGTTTTGTCTTTTGTGTTGTTTGATTTAATTAATCCCTATATACAATATGATAGATTTAGAAATACGAGATGAGATGAATTAGTGGGAGCAATTATTGGCCAAAGGATCGTGTGATAAAACATGAATATGAAGGGGAAAAAACAACCCTGATTTTGATTTCCTCATATTATTTTTCTTGGATGACGATGTTGTTATACAGTATAACTGCTGTGCAGCTCACAATATTATGAAGGAAGTTCTGTATTTGAGCCACATTATGGGGTGGTCTATGTTGAGTGTATACTTAATATGAGGCTATAAGCCTATGGGGCGAATTACAATTGCAAACACGCAGTGTCAAAATGTTTGTAATCTTGGAAAATTCAGTGAAGTGGATTTTTGTTTTTTGAAATCGTGATTTAACTATTCAATAAAAGCATGCTAGTGTTATCACCACTGCCTAAGTTATGTAAGCTGAAGGGGACCAGCATGAATGATTTTGAAAAGAAAATTCTAGTATTTGTAAGGTCAGGTACAAATTGTTTAACCATCATTTCCATTTCACATGATGTTATGGGCGTATATTGTTTTGATATTTTCTTTCTGTATATTTTCAGGGTGTGTCTCATCCCTTGCAGATGAAGGAAGCTATTGACTTTTAAAATAAAGTAAGTGTCTTTTGGCATTGATCGTCATTTGGCAGTGCAGTGTGTGATTGTAAAGATCAGCTGTGTATACAACTTTTGAAAAACCCGCAGTGCGTGTACATAAAAGATGATCCCCAAAATTTTGGTACAATGCAGTATTTCACAGGGATTCAAAACCATTCGTTTTACAGAACATGTTTGTTTTGAATATAGGGTCCTCTGTAGACGCTCGATGTAATTGCATACATGTACGTTCAGCAGAACACCAAGTTTGAACGTGGCGAGGGTACGAAGACGAGGAGAGTGCTAACTATTCATGAGGTAATTTTGTATTGTAAAATATATTATTCAAATCTTCAATTTAATTGAATGATGATGTTTGGCTGAGATTCTATCTTGCATAAGAACCTTTCAACTTCCACTGTAAATTTACTCTGGCGGTAAAACATCATGAAATGAAAAAGTATAACACTTCTAGGTGAATACAATTTTGAAATACAATTTTAAATAGAAAGTCTCCGTAAATACCTACATGACTGCAAAGTTATTGGTACGAAACTGTGCAAAGCTTGCCTATTTTCTTCAGATTTTATTTTTAATATTTGATCCACGATCAAGCTCAAGCTGTAACTTTACAGTCTTTGTGCACATTATCTCTGATAACAAAGGTTAATATTGACGTGAGTCCCAAAAAGGCCGACAATTGTGCAATTTACTTTTGAACCCAATTTTGTAATCAGTTTTCATATTCTTCCTGGAGTAAACTTTATTAATGACTTGTCATTTTAGGGTCTCCATTATTTTTTTTTTTACTGTGAGTTTGGTTTCACTTTCAAAGTTGATCAGTTTTTGTATGGCTCACTCAGAAATCTTGTTTATGTCCACAGAATGCTGCTGAACCAGACAGAGTATCTGCATCAAAACTACAGTTTACATTACATGTGGAGACACCATCAAGAAAGTCTCGAACTACAACACGTACAATGATGCGCTTCTTCTCCAGCTTGGGGAACTATGCCTTTGATTTGGATTGTCCAAAGTATTTTCACGTGCTTTGAGTTCTCTTCAAAAAATCATAATTAGAGAAAGTTTTCCTGGCAGATTCCAGCAAATTGATGCAGTTCACTACAAGGTATTTGTGTATAAATTAATTAGATATATTGTTGAAATCTCAGCTAAAGATCAATACTTATTTTACCACTTCAAACTATAACGCAAACCTTCATAGGTTTTAAAAAACAAGTATAATTCATTTGCAGTTTTACTTCTAACTCTCATTGAATTGGAAAATAATTGATTTTAGCCCTATTTCCAGATATATTCATTTACTTTTAATTCACCCTTTTTGTGTTTGTTTATGTTTTTGTTTCTTTGTTTTGATACTTGTGAAAAATGTAATTGGCCTTAATGTTGGGGTCTTAAAAAAAGGATTGTTGGAAACATACTGATAGGCATGTGGCATATTCACATAAATGTCACATTATTTTTGCTGTCGTGATGTACAATATTCTCTAGGGGTGACCATAAAAATGCATTTGTATTTTATTGTCATTTTCATGATTCGATAGAACTGAATAGGCCTTTCACCACAATCCTATAGGTGAAAATGAAGACAGCTTTGTGAAGTGCCCTAAATGCGTTTATTTCAATGTTGTTAATATTGTGACTGAAGTTTTACTTGCAATTTTGAATACTGTTCGAAAACTAAACACACACTGTGAATATAAACACTTGAAAATAATAATAAATGGCGTCACATGTTTAAAATCTGTCACAGGCAATAAACGTGTCACATGTTTAAAATTACAACAGATTGACGTGTTTTCTTTTTGACTGTGTGTTTACTTTTTAAACGTCAGTAGTATTTAAATGTTAAACGCCTTTGATGTATATATTTTAAACACTGTTCCGTTTAAAGATTAAACACCGTCAGTGTGCTGATTTTAAACACCAAATATGTTTTCAAATTAAACATGTTCATTGGATAAACTGCGTCACATGTTTAAAAACTGTCACAGATTAGTGTTTATTTAGGTGTTCTAAACCTAAACACATGGTTTACAGTGAGGGTTTCTTTAACTGTGAACATTCCCCAAATATAAAGTTATTCGCAAAATAGGAAAACGCAAGAAAACAAAGCCCCTCACCCTTAAAAATGGAAATACAAAATAGAATAAAAACAAAGTCAAGTGGAAAACCCCAATGTACCTTAAGGATTGAATTAGAAAATTCCATAACTGCCGATGATGATGAATATAAATGACCCGCCAAAAGCTTGGAACCCAATAGGCGGCCGGGGCGGAACCAGACATTTTGGCAGGGGGAGTTCATCAGCCAGGGTGTCAGAGCGGGAGGGGGGGGGGGGGAAGTTCACATATTTTTTATATAATTTCTATGAAAACAATTGTTTCACAGAGCTGGGGGACCCCCCCCCCCTTTATAGGGGCCTGGGCGACTCTTGTACAGTGCTAGAATTTGAAGAGTATCTGCCGGCGCGACGTCTTTCCATACCTCCTGTCAAAGAAAGTCTTACTTATGATCGTAAATAACTATGTTGTTTACAATTACAAATGGAATTTAATCCCCCAAATCGACAATTTCAATGAGCTTTCAAATGAAACATTGCACGAAAAAAATCGGCCCATACCAAGCAATCAATTAATTAATTTCAACTTTCGAATGAAGAGCGGAACGCTCTTAATTCGTTTTGAATAGTGTGCGCAATTTCAGAACTGGAGCGCGTCAGTTAAAGCCAACTTTCAAATCTGAGTAAAGGCCTGCAAACTCAAACAAACAAATTTATTTGTTACAGGACATAACAGTCCTTCATATTTCGTTCGGAAAAAAAAATTCAAAATTGTTAAAAGGCACGTGGGCTCTATACACCATCTTTTAAAAATGTCATACTTTATAAAAAAAAATGTGTGTGTGACGATGCAGTATTTCGAAGATCTCTAAAAATGGATGCCGCTACTTGATATTTGTTGTTCTTCCTTTTAACGACATTCTTAGCGCCGATAATACCCACCTCAGGGCAGTGTCATAGCGGGGGGAGGGGGTGCACAGTTGCAAATTGCAACCGGCTACAGATTTTAAAAGCGAGCCGGGAGGGGGGAGCGCGAAGGGGCCGGCGACATCATCGGAAAAAGCGAGTCACATCAGTCGGCAGCGATGAAGAGCGCCACTTACTGTCCGAGGGCGTCCATATAAGGGCCCGCTTTTAACAGTGTCCCTATGGGTGCAATAAAGCCCCCAATGATAAATGGCTCCACTTCAGAAAGTCTGAAAATATACTCACAATTTACTCTCCAAGGTGTTTGAGACACCATCAAATTTATAGCTTATTTCATGGTTTTTCTTTAACTTGATGAATTTTGGGAGAAATTTCCACCCGAATATAAATCATCCCTTAAAATACAGTCCTGAAGCCCATCGCCATTTTGAAAAACGGTGCCTATACTCCATTGCAAAGGAGAGCGCTTTTAGGGCCCCAATTTTAGGGCCCCAAATTGTACAGAAATACATGTTCACGTTCCAGTGCACGCGGCTTCCATCCTTATTTTTTACGAATCCTCAAGTTCATGTCCCACAATGTGCTCAAATACTGAATAATTATAGGGGCATGTAAATCGTGATTTGGCCGGCATAGGGAATTTCGGACCGATTTACTGGCCTGCACCTACAATCCTTG